CCTTCTATAACTTATTCCCCAATAACTTTGTTATTGACTCATTACCTTATTCCCTCTGATGTTTAAGTGTACTCTACATTAATAAGATATTTGTATAATAAAATAAAGCCCTCTTCCAGATTTAATGACTACGCCATATTGAACCAATCATCGTTCAGAAATATACTAAACATTCAAATGTATTACGGACAGATGCTTATTAAGACTACAACATTCCATTAAACAAGATTAACCTAATTTTCAGCCTAAACTTTAAAATATGCTGGCTTTTTTATTTATTTAAATGGCGAGGTTATTTCCCTATTCGTCCAGTTGTAGCACTCCATGACCCCGGCGGAGAGGCTGGTTGCAAGTTGCATAAAGAGATTGGGTCTCGAGATTACAGAAGTTTTTCAATAGGAAGTGTGTGTGGCTGGGGGCCAGGAGCTGTGCCCTCGCCTACCACAGCTTCAGGCACAAACATGTATTCTCTGCAACACAAAGTAATGTGATTTTAATTTAACGTTTTGGCCACTTGGAATATTCATGCATATGTATGTATATACGAAAAAGTCGTGCTACTTGGAGTACATGCATACTTCAGTTGTTACTTGAAGAACACACATCAACTGTTACTTGAAGAACATACATCAATTGTTACTTGAAGAACACACATCAACTGTTACTTGAAGAACATACATCAACTGTTAATTGAAGAACCTACATCAACTGTTACTTGAAGAACCTACATCAACTGTTACTTGAAGAACCTACATCAACTGTTACTTGAAGAACCTACATCAACTGTTACTTGAAGAACCTACATCAACTGTTACTTGAAGAACATACATCAACTGTTACTTGAAGAACATACATCAACTGTTACTTGAAGAACATACATCAACTGTTACTTGAAGAACATACATCAACTGTTACTTGAAGAACCTACATCAACTGTTACTTGAAGAACATACATCAACTGTTACTTGAAGAGCATACATTAACTGTTACTGGAAGAACATACATCAACTGTTACTGGGAGAACATACATCAACTGTTACTGGAAGAACATACATCAACTGTTACTGGGAGAACATACATCAACTGTTACTGGGAGAACATACATCAACTGTTACTGGAAGAACCTACATTAACTGTTACTTGAAGAACATACATCAACTGTTACTGGGAGAACATACATCAACTGTTACTGGGAGAACATACATTAACTGTTACTGGAAGAACATACATCAACTGTTACTGGGAGAACATACATCAACTGTTACTGGAAGAACATACATCAACTGTTACTTGAAGAACATACATCAACTGTTACTTGAAGAACATACATTAACTGTTACTGGAAGAACATACATCAACTGTTACTGGGAGAACATACTTCAACTGTTACTAGAACATACATCAACTGTTACTGGGAGAACATACATCAACTGTTACTGGGAGAACATACATCAACTGTTACCTGGAGGTTACCTGGAGGTTATTCCGGGGATCAACGCCCCCGCGGCCCGGTCCACGACCAGGCCTCCCGATGGATCAGGGCCTGATCAACTAGGCTGTTACTGCTGGCCGCACGCAGTCCGACGTACGAGCCACAGCCCGGCTGATCCGGCACTGACTTTAGGTATCTGTCCAGCTCTCTCTTGAAGGCAGCCAGGGGTTTATTGGCAATTCCCCTAATGCTTGATGGGAGGCTGTTGAACAGTTTTGGGCCCCGGACACTTATGGTGTTTTCTCTTAGTGTACCAATGGCGCCCCTACTTTTTATTGGCGGCATTTTGCATCGCCTGCCCAGTCTTTTACTTTCGTAGGGAGTGATTTCTGTGTGCAGATTTGGGACCATTCCTTCCAAGATTTTCCAAGTGTAGATTATGATATATCTCTCCCTCCTGCGTTCCAACGAGTACAAGTCAAGTGCTTTCAAGCGTTCCCAGTAGTTAAGGTGCTTGACAGAACTTATACGTGCAGTAAAGGATCTCTGTACACTCTCTAGATCTGCGATTTCACCTGCTTTGTATGGAGATGTTAATGTACAGCAGTATTCCAGCTAGAGAGAACAAGTGATTTGAAAAGGATCATCATGGGCTTGGCATCTCTCGTTTTGAAAGTTCTCATTATCCATCCTATCATTTTCTTTGCACGTGCGATCGTGGCACTGTTGTGATCCTTGAAAGTGAGATCCTCAGACATTACTACTCCCAGGTCCCTTACATTATTTTTCCGCTCTATTGTATGGCCGGGGTCAGTAGTATACTCTGTTCTAGTTATTATCTCCTCCAGTTTTCCATAACGGAGTAGTTGGAATTTGTCCTCATTGAACATCATATTGTTTACCGTTGCCCACTGGAAAACTTTGTTTATATCTTCTTGGAGGTTAACGCGTCCTCAGCAGATGACAGCCTCATGCAGATCCTAGTATCATCCGCAAAGGATGATACGGTGCTGTGGTGTATATCTCTGTTTATGTCTGATATGAGGATAAGGAATAAGATGGGGGCGAGTACTGTGCCTTGTGGAACAGAGCTCTTCACTATGGCAGCCTCCGATTTAACTCTGTTGACCACTACTCTTTGTGTTCGATTTGTTAGGAAGTTGAAGATCCATCTCCCCACTTTCCCAGTTATTCCTTTAGCACGTATTTTATGGGCTATTACGCCATGATCGCATTTGTCAAATGCTTTTGCAAAGTCTGTGTATATTACATCTGCATTCTGATTTTCTTCCAGTGCATCCAAGGCCATGTCATAGTGATCCAGTAGTTGTGAGAGGCAGGAGCGACCTGCCCTGAACCCATGTTGCCCTGGATTGTGCAGATTTTGGGAATCCAGGTGATTTGCAATCCTGCTTCTTAGCACTCTTTCAAAGATTTTTATGATGTGGGACGTCAGAGCTATTGGTCTATAGTTCTTAGCTAATGCTTGCTGCCACCTTTATGGAGCGGGGCTATATCCGTTGTTTTAAGTGACTGTGGAATTTCACCCATGTCCAAGCTCCTCCTCCATAGTGTACTTAGGGCACGCGAGAGGGGTTTCTTGCAGTTCTTAATGAAAACAGAGTTCCACGAGTCTGGGCCCGGGGCTGAGTGCATAGGCATGTTGTCAATGGCTTTTTCGAAATCTATCGGAGTTAGGGTAATGTCGGAAATCTGGCATACATTTATGGAGTTTTGAGGCTCATTCATGAAGAAATCATTTGGGTCGTCGATCCTCAGACCGATTAGTGGTTCACTAAACACAGAGTCGTACTGGGATTTCAATATTTCACTCATTTCCTTGTTGTCGTCTGTGTAAGTCCCATCCTGTCTGAGTAAGGGCCCGATACTAGATGTGGTATTTGCCTTGTTTTTGGCATATGAAAAGAAATATTTGGAATTTCTTTCAATTTCACTAATAGCTTTAAGCTCCTCCTGCCTCTCCTGGTTCCTGTAAGAGTCATTTAGCTTAAGTTCGATAGTTTCCACTTCCCTGGTCAGCGCCTCCTTTCGTGTATCAGATATTCTAGCACTCCTGAGGAGCTCAGTGACTCTTCGTCGTCTTCTGTAGAGGGAGCGTCTTTTTCTCTCCAGTTTACTCCTGCTCTTCTTCTTTCTTAGGGGAATATGCCTAGAACATGCTTCGGCTACCAGGAAGTTGATCCTTTCAAGGCACTGGTTTGGGTCCATGTCATTTAAGACATCTTCCCAACATGTTTCGTTTAGGACATGGTTTACCTGGTCCCAGTTGATGTTCTTGTTGTTGAAATTGTATTTTGTGAAGACACCTTCACCGGTACATGCATTCTGCTGTTCAGGACCCCTATGCATGTACGTCTGGACTTCGATTAGATTGTGATCGGAATTAGTTGTTTTTGATATTCTTATGTCTCTTATCAGGTCCTCATTATTTGTGAAGATAAGGTCAAGTGTGTTTTCTAGTCTTGTTGGCTCCACTATCTGCTGGAAGAACATACATCAACTGTTACTGGGAGAACATACATTAACTGTTACTGGGAGAACATACATTAACTGTTACTGGGAGAACATACATCAACTGTTACTGGGAGAACATATATCAACTGTTACTGGGAGAACATACATTAACTGTTACTGGAAGAACATACATCAACTGTTACTGGGAGAACATACATTAACTGTTACTGGAAGAACATACATCAACTGTTACTGGGAGAACATACATTAACTGTTACTGGAAGAACATACATTAACTGTTACTGGAAGAACATACATCAACTGTTACTGGGAGAACATACATTAACTGTTACTGGAAGAACATACATCAACTGTTACTGGGAGAACATACATTAACTGTTACTGGAAGAACATACATTAACTGTTACTGGGAGAACATACATTAACTGTTACTGGAAGAACATACATCAATTGTTACTGGAAGAACATACATCAACTGTTACTGGAAGAACATACATCAACTGTTACTGGAAGAACATACATCAACGCGTTTCCCAGGAATATACGTTTAATTTAGCGTATTGGCTGGATAACGTACATATTTCAACTTTCTTCGCTATAACTCCTCGCTGGCGGAGTCACAGCGCGTCATTGCTTTTAATATGGATTTATTTTCGTTACTACAAAAAATATGGACAAATATAGACAAAAATAAATCAAGTAACACTGAAACCATAAAAAATAATGGTTTTATTTATGTGAATATAACACAAATGCGGAGAACAAAAATAATGTTTTTGTGTATTTTTGTAAAAGGTAATGTGAAGTTGACTGAAAAAATCTCAAAAAAAAAAAAAAAATGGAGAAGGCGTAATGGTATCTTGGATGTACACCGTTGGCAGGCGTATGAAGCTGAAGCAATGTCCTTTCCTCACAAGTTTTTAATTGCATATTTAACTTTGAAGATCTATATGAATTGTAATTCATATTTGTGTATTGTGTATTCATTTATTTACGTTTGATAAGCTTAGAGAAGCATCAAGTGTACTTGTGAGAGAACTGTATTGAGTGCAGTAGATCAGTGGGTTCCCAGCCACTACTACTCAGTGGAGGTTATGTAGTCAGAGAGGGAGGTGGTGATGTTAGCTCCGGTGACTCCTGCAACCATGTGGTGCTTCTTGTGCTCTTTTGTTGAGGAATATCTCTAATTATTCGAGGCCACATTCGCAACCAGACGTATTGTCTGAGTGTTAAAAAGTGCTATTAATTGTTCTGATTGCGTTTATCGGCACATTATCTCTAGACAAAGAGAATAACTGGTTGTTTCAAGTGGTAGGGTACGAACACTGGGTGTTAAAAAAATATTTGATTAAGTCCCCAATGGTGTGTATATTGGATAAATTTATCATCTATTTTAATTGAAGATAATGACACAGTAAAACAGTTGGCGAGTTTTGGTTGTGTTTGTAGCATCAGTGTATTGTGGTGATGATGGCTAGCACTGGTATGGGCACTACTGGGGGTGCCAGCGTGGATGCCCAGCTAGTGGCACTCCTTGACAAGTTGGAGGGTCTTCGTCAGGAGGGCAGGCCACCCCCTAGGCCGCCCATGATTGCTGAGGTGCGCACGTTAGAGTTGTGGAGGGCAGTGATAGCAGAGTGTCTGGCCACTGTCTTCTACGTGTTCCTGGTGTGTGGTGCCTACAGTCCCTGGACGGGCAAGACACTCACACAGGAAGGTCAACTTACTATATCCCTGGTGGCTGGCCTCGCCATGGCTGTACTAGTACATAGCTTCGGCCAGGTGAGAACCTTACACATCAACTAGGGTCATAATAATAATTTAATATTCATGGTGAAGCACTAAACCAAACTGGTAATGAACTCTTGAGGGATGGGAGGTAAGCAGGTTTGATCCAAGAAATGGGAGGGTAGGTCAAATTCCTTGGATCAGGAGCTCTTAAGACACTACCTTTCCCGGTGAAGATTATAATCCTTTGATAGGGTATATACACGAAGGAGTGTAGATACACTCTATATGCAAAGTTTACTGAAATTCCTATAATCGGGCCATCAACCAGGAGGCCTGGTTGAATTCACTATTAAAGTTCAGCTTTGTTTAATATTTGTTGCAGGTTTAACAGAAACATCTAAATAGCTGAAGAGAATTGCTTAAAATTTAAATTTACATGGTGTAGGTTTAAATAGTTTTAAAAGTAATTTACAGCGTTTAGTGCAGCGCTGTATAGCCCTTGTGGCTTAGCGCTTCTTTTTGATTATAATAATAATAATAATACAGCTCTTAGTTATGATTGTAATAATAAAGTTTCTTCAGTATTTCAGCTTGATTTCTCTATTTCCTAGTGATCCAGAAGAGTACAATGATATACTTCCAATTTCTTAATAACTTTAACTAGGTTTCGATGCCCAGTGAAATGCTAAATCAACGTCTACATAAAAACAGACGAAAATTTGAAGCCTGCCAGAAGAAGCATTCCTCAGTTATCCAACGATTCCAGTTTCATGAACTATATTTGTACAGTTGTAAATTTATGCTTACAACGTTTAAAATCATTTTATGAAATGCATCAACATTGATGTTTGAAGTTCAGAATAATCATTCATTATATACTGAATGGAAATCAGTTTCACATTTTATTTAATGAAATAAACAATGGGACTTAGCAGCCCAAAAACAAGTCGAAGCATGCGTTCTGGAAAGCACACTAGCTCTAAAAGTTTGAAATTGGTCATAAAAGGCATTCTCTAGTTAATACTGTTCTACGGATTCCAACAGCCCCAACTTCTTTCTTTCAACACACCGGCCGTATCCCACCGAGGCGGGGTGGCCCAAAAGGAAAAACGAAAGTTTCTCCTTTTACATTTAATAATATATATACAGGAGAAGGGGTTACTAGCCCCTTGCTCCCGGCATTTTAGTTGCCTCTTACAACACGCATGGCTTACGGAGGAAGAATTCTGTTCCACTTCCCCATGGAGGTAAGAGGAAATAAACAAGAACAAGAACTAGAAAGAAAATAGAAGAAAACCCAGAGGGGTGCGTGTATATATGCTTGTACACGTATGTGAAGTGTGACCTAAGTGTAAATAGAAGTAGCAAGATCTACCCGAAATCTTGCATGTGTATGAGACAATAAAAAGACACCAGCAATCCTACCATCATGTAAAACAATTACAGGCTTTCGTTTTACACTCACTTGGCAGGACGGTAGTACCTCCCTGGGTGGTTGCTGTCTACCAACCTACTACGTAGGATTTTTTTTTTAACATTTAGTATATTGAGAAATTTGTCTGGAAAAACTAAATGGGTACGCTCCATGAGATGCATCAGCTATTAATTAAATATTGAAGCCGTTTGGAAAAGGCGGACTAAACAATTTAATGTGAATTAACGGGAATAAAAATTTCTACATTGTTATACACAAAATTGATAAATGTCTATCTACACTACACTTGAATTTCACTCGTCCGTCGTCGAATTACAGGGCACCTTTTTGAACAATGGAATCAACGCTGCCGAGGGTTTTGAAAGCTATCTGAGGTATTCCACTTGTTTATGGTATTTGCGCATGCCAGTAGTTCCAAGAATTATTTCCTAGTTACCGTACACAAGTGTTGAAAATTTGAAGCTTAACGGTTGAGGCCTCATGTTTTGAGCGAAATAAAAATCAAATTCAAATTCATTTATTTCTTTGCAAGTAGCACATTGAGATTATATTTTTACAGTAATGGGTTGCATTGCAAAGAGAGCCTCTATTATGCCTAGGCATTATGGGCCGACTTAATTTAATGGCTTACTGACTTTTTTGGGTTGTTCTAGGTTCTCTACACATATGCTGCTATGTATGATAATTCTATGTAACTGTTTTTGTGTATACCTGAATCAACTTACTAATCACGAAAGAAATTATCATAGTTGTACAGTAGTTCTATTATAAGTGAATCTAATTTATACAAACGAACTTGGGAAGGAGAAACAGACAGGCAGCCACTTAAAGGTTCCCCATCGTTAACTGTATTCTCTTGATATTCTTAACGCATAAAATCGCTCAAGGGTGAGGGGTGCTTTTGAGCCAGGAAACTGGACTTCTCCCCTTGCTTGAATCGAATCGAAATACCTCGTTTCCCAGGCACTAAAAGACTCTAACAGGTTTAGCTCTTTTCCATGATTAAGATTCTTTTCCATGATTAAGATAAAAAAAAAGAGTAAAAGCAGTGACATTACGTTCTAAATAAGCTACGGTAAAATATCACTTAAAATGGATTAAAAATAAAGTATTGAGGATTAACAAGTAAATTTCAGCAGGTTAAAAATAATTTTCCGCAGTTTATAAAAAAAGTGAGAAAGAAAAATAAAAATAAATGAAAGCTCCCACCCCCTTAAAGCCCACAACACCCCCAGTTATAAAATCGGAAGTATGTAAAGAAATGGTCATAATCCTAACCATAATTTTTAGAGGGGTGGGCGTTGTATGGCCATTGTAGGTTTAGCGCTTCTTTTTTATTGTAATATTAATTAGAGGGGTGAACCAGTAAGCCAGCGAAAGGCCTCAGTCAGATGACCAGAAGTTTCAGTTGAAGGTTATCATATGACTAAGACCCGCTTTAGAAAACACTTGCGTTGTTTCCTGACACACTATACCTACGATAACTATTGAGAACGTAGAGAGGGGAGTCATGTGGTAGAGCTGCTTGTTTGGCAAAACGATCATTGCTTAATAAGCCAAGATTGTAAGCTCTGCCTAAAAAAATAGTTACACAGGTTTTCGTAATACAAAAGTAAATTATCCCGACTATATAAATTAGACACACACTGCGGATATTGCGTCCATCAAGGACTTGATCATAATTTATTCACAGCTTTTCGGGCACTTGTTTGATGATTTCATGTCTTAAGTATTATTTTCTTAGTGTATAGTAAAATCCATCATGCCTTGTGGTTAACCTCGAGTAAAAGGGAAAGAAATAACAAAAGTCTCAGTCGACACTTGACTACCCACTAGATTTACAGCCGTTGGTGAAAGAGTTCCCTAGTGTATTTTAAAGGGAAAGACTTATGATAGTGAATTTTAGGTTTTCTGGTGCCAGTTGAATATGGCCTCATGGGGAGGACTAGGCTGGATCCATCCCTTGTTTCCTGCTTGTATTGTGTCCAACTTCCTTCTCTCTTGTAACTTCAGATCCCTCTTCCTCCATCTTTTCCATTTTTATCCTCTAACATACCAAGCACTTAATTTTTTTTCGATAATTTTCTTTTCAAGTTTTATCTAACATGTTAAAAAATTTTCAGACGAATATTTTTCTCATCTTTCAGTTTTGTTCATTGTATTGTGCGTCTCAAAGAAAACATTCACGAGTACATTGAGCTGTATATACAGGTGGAGGTAATAAAGAAAAACTAATGGGTTTTTCTCTTTCTGTTTTCACTTTTTCGCGTTGTTTTTGTTAGACAAAACATACTAGCAGCGCTATGGCTAGTGCGTAATGGCAGCTACCTGTCCTGGTAAATTAATGGACTAGTAGTATTCTGGGGCTAAATGCTTTGTTTTGCATATGTATCGCAGTATTGCAAAAGAAAAAAATATTGTGCGAGTAACTACAGATCAGAATGTTGAAATTAATATCCCCATTCACTTCTCTTATTCTAATGATCAGTTACATGAGTGTAGGTACGGGGGCAGGTCTTCCCTTCAAGAAGATTGTGTTAATATAGGTGGATCTCCTCTTCAAGACATTGCGCCATGATGCTGACTTGTAGTACTCCTTCAGGTGTCAGGAGGGCACGTGAACCCGGCCGTGACGGTGTCACTAGCGGTGACAAGGAGGGTCTCCCCCCTTAGGGCCGCCATGTTCGTCTTGGCTCAGCTGGGCGGCGGCATTGCTGGTGCTGCTCTTCTCTACGGGTAAGTACCAGTCTACATTACATTATTATGATTGTTGTTATTACATTTATGAATGAGGGCTAAACCCGTATGTACCAATACAAATTACATTAGTATTGTTATTAAATTCATAGAGGAGCGCTAATCCCGTATGGGTCATATAGCTCTTGGAGAATGGAAAGCATCCAGACTCGATTCAAGGAATTGGAGCACAAGTTCAATCCTTAGACCAAGCGCCCCTCACCACCAAGGAATCTCCCTCGAGGGGCAATATATTACAGTCATCCAAGAATATTTTTTTTAACACTGGCGGTCTCCTGCAGAAGTAGGGTGACCCAAGGAAGAAAACACTTTCACTCACTTCAAAATTAGTCTTGCCAGAAGGGCACCGACGTCACAGTTCAGATGACCCTCCAAACATAAACATCCCCACCCCTCTAGGACTCGGGTCCGGATAACCAATTTTCACTGAATCCCTTCATAAATGTTATCTTTCTCATACAGCACGTCAGTTCATAAAAAAAAAAGCACTTGCCTCCACCCTAACATGTTGGATATCCAAGCCCTTAGTACTAAAAACTTCCTTTGCCCTCCGTTTCCCCCATTCTCCTTGCCCTTTGGATTTAGCTCTTCCCCTGATTGTAATAGTAGTTGTATTCTTACGATCCCATTTGCAGTTCTCACTATGGATAGATATCCTCTCCCGTACAGTTGCTTTTATTCCTTATGTTTTTAATATACGAATAGTGTGTGCATGTGTCGAGTTATGGTTCATTTTGAAAAGATTACGATGTTGAAGTTGTAGCACCGGGTTATCCCAGGTTGTGTGACGACCCGTGTCTTAGTGCAAGTAAAACTTCCTCCTATCTTATTATTTCAACCGCATAGCACTTTAAGTTGTCCCAACTAGGCCTCCCCATCAGGTCACTCTGGCCCACAAAACTTGACATGACTTCTACCGCCTTATTCCTCGTTTTCCTCGTCGCTGGCCATGTTATATTTGCTTTGCCATCTTCCTCGCATCATTCCTCTATATATCACGGCATATCTATGTTTTCATATTGTTTTTATTGAAATCAACTCTCAAAAATAGCACCTATTTCGGTACTGGTGTGTTAATTGTATGTATAGGATAGGCACATATGTGGTGTAGGATCGTATAAAACCAGAAGCAGGTTAAAGTTCGGGCACAGAATTTGGCACTGTATGGGCAAAAGGACTTTTGAGGAGGTACATATTATAACAATGGTTATAAATGACCATAATTTTTAAAGGGGTGGACCGGTAAGCCAGCGGAAGGCCTCGGTCAGATGACCAAAAGCTCCAAAGGTGGGTCATCATCTGACTAAGACCCGCGTCAGGAAACATTTGTCCTGTTTCCTGACGAACCTTACCTAACCTAACCTTCAGGAGGTACAGTTGCTGTATCCTTAACGGTTAAAATTTGCAATCTGTTGAGCTTGGATAGTTTAGAGGAGCATGGTTAGGCCTGGTCATGGACTGGACCGCAGGGGCATTGACCCCTGGAACACCCTCCAGGTAGAACTCATCGACACCTGAAGGCTCTCATTCATCTTTCGAAATTAGATGTGAGAGAGACATGTTTAATAAGAAGATGTAAATACTGCAGTTTCAAGCGTGTAGTAAAGTATTCCACGGTTAGCAGTCTACATAGCTGTGACATAGTTGAAGGTGGAAATAATGTAACAAAAAGTTAAATCATATATATTACAAATTGTTTTAAATTTTCAAAATGGTTGCATGGATCAATTATTATATGCTTGCAGTGTTAATAAGTTATGAAGATCAACACATGGTAACCCCCCCCCTCAAAAAAAAAAAAAAAAATTGATTTCCACCGACTGGCGGGTACACGTTTGCTGTATATTCTGCAGACAAACCGTCAGAATAATAGACTAAAGGAAATTGAGAGTGGCACTCTGCTAAGACAAAGAGGCAATTGTTTCTTTTTATTACTATCTGTGTGGCGTCTATGGGTGGGGTTGAGGCTGCAAGGTCACGTCAGACGTGTAGGAAGCTAGGGACGCACACCACACCCAGCTCTCTCTGGCTTCTGGGATCCTGCACCATGACATCTTGGAACTACTGTTGTAACCTAGAGTGTTGCCTACGTGCTAATATGGGAGATACGGAGATAGAATTCTTTGTTACCAGTAGGTAACAGTTATAATCCCCCCTTCCCCATTGACTTCCCAGTTTCTCGTCTCGGCATTTCTCCTCTCTCAATTTCTCTCTCCCCATATTGTCCCTTATTTCCTCTCATTATGTTTATCCATTCTTAATTTCCTCTCAGTGCCACTTTCCATAGCCTCCGTTACCACTAGGCTTTTTACTGTCTAGTTGGCCTCAATTAATTGCTAGATTTCACACAAGAGATATTCTTGCTGGCATTGTTGTGTGATGCTCCATTGTGTAGCCCAGCCACAATGGCTGTGTAATTTTAGTCAAGTGGGACTGTCAATGTGGTGGAAGTGCTTTGCGGTGGTAAAGGGTAGTAAAGATAGCAGGGTGAATGTGACGACAGTGGTGATACTGTGGTGTTGATACAGAGTAGTAGCTATAGTAAGGTGGTGGTGCTGACAGTGATGGTGAGTGTTGGTGATGGTAGTAACCGATGGTGATAGTGCTAAGTGTCAGTATTGGTGGTGATGACTGGTATATATAGTCGGTGGTAGTGATTGATGAGGCAGTGGTTCTCTCTTAATCCGGCCATACAATAGAGCGGAAAACTAATGTAAGGGACCTGGGAGTAGTAATGTCTGAGGATCTCACTTTCAATGATCACAACAGTGCCACGATCGCACGTGCAAAGAAAATGATAGGATGGATAATGAGAACTTTCAAAACGAGAGATGCCAAGCCCATGATGATCCTTTTCAAATCATTTGTTCTCTCTAGGCTGGAATACTGCTGTACATTAACATCTCCATTCAAAGCAGGTGAAATCGCAGATCTAGAGAGTGTACAGAGATCCTTTACTGCACGTATAAGTTCTGTCAAGCACTTTAACTACTAGGAGCGCTTGGAAGCACTTGACTTGTACTCGTTGGAACGCAGGAGGGAGAGATATATCATAATCTACACTTGGAAAATCTTGGAAGGAATGGTCCCAAATCTGCACACAGAAATCACTCCCTATGAAAGTAAAAGACTGGGCAGGCGATGCAAAATGCCCCCAATAAAAAGTAGGGGCGCCATTGGTACACTAAGGGAAAACACCATAAGTGTCCGGGGCCCAAAACTGTTTAACAGCCTCCCATCAAGCATTAGGGGAATTGCCAATAAACCCCTGGCTGCCTTCAAGAGAGAGCTGGACAGATACCTAAAGTCAGTGCCGGATCAGCCGGGCTGTGGCTCGTATGTTGGACTGCGTGCGGCCAGCAGTAACAGCCTGGTTGATCAGGCCCTAATCCATCGGGAGGCCTGGTCATGGACCGGGCCGCGGGGGCGTTGATCCCCGGAATAACCTCCAGGTAACCTCCCCACTTGCCTCGCCAAATGTGAGGCAAGTGGGGAAGTGGATCCAGTTTTGCTAAATAAAAAAAGGAAAATTTTCAATGTCTCTTGGTATAAACTACATCTAACTTTTATGAGGTAGTGACTCGTGATCGTGAGCGCAGCCTATCTTGTGCGACGGAATGTAATAGGGCTTTTGTTCCTACCTTGACACATGAAATATAGTAGCAGCACACTGCGGGTGTTCCCATCATGTAACTCCTACAGAATATGGTAGCAGCACACTGCGGATGTTCCCATCATGTAACTCCTACAGAATATGGTAGCAGCACACTGCGGGTGTTCCCATCATGTAACGCCTACAGAATATGGTAGCAGCACACTGCGGATGTTTCCATCATGTAACTCCTACAGAATATGGTAGCAGCACACTGCGGGTGTTCCCATCATGTAACTCCTACAGAATATGGTAGCAGCACACTGCGGGTGTTCCCATCATGTAACTCCTACAGAATATGGTAGCAGCACACTGCGGGTGTTCCCATCATGTAACTCCTACAGAATATGGTAGCAGCACACTGCGGGTGTTCCCATCATGTAACTCCTACAGAATATGGTAGTAGCACTGCGGATGTTTCCACCATGTAACTGCGACTTATCCTCATTTTACTACATAATATTGTTTACACATCCTCAAAGCCTACAAATATTTGTTTCTTTATTAGAAACTATTTAAAGACAGATAAGCCTACTTAACATGACATCTGGGAGAGTCGCTGAACCTGTAGGGATCATACAACGCCCGGAGACGATCAGGTTAGGTGAAGTTCAATTCCTGGGATCAAAAGCCCCCTACCGGCCTTAAGGAACCTTCCTTGAAGGGTAAGCAAATTAGAAAAAAAAAAAAACGGCCGTAGTATGTATGGCATCGATGTGGTTCAGTGAAACCAGAAAACGTTCGTATCTGCACAATTATCCAGCATGGTGTGAAGATGAGACTTTTTATCCACACAAATGTACCCATTTTTGCTTATAAAATGTCGTAAGGAGTGTAAGGAAGGCTGAGTTATTGTTGGTATACCCCTCGAGGGAGGTTTATTGAAGCTGGTGAGGGGCTCTTGATCTAGGGAATTGTATCTGTGCTCCGGTTCCCTGAATTGAGCCAGAATACCTTCCATCCCCCATGTGCTGTATAATCCTACGGGTTTAGCGCTCCCCATAATGATACTATTGTAGGTATACTATGCTGCTGATATTGAACTAAGAGCCTGCCTTCTTGATATTGGAGAAGGGTGTAGGAAGCAGGGGCATTAGGATGGTCCCAGGTGGAATGCGGGCAGGGAAGGAAGAAGGGATGCGGAAGATTTTATTTGGATTATCCCCGGAGGATTAGTAGGCCAGGAGCCAGGATAAACCTAGAGTCGAGCAGTATGGTTTAGTTCCGTTGAGTTCTCACGCTCTGTTTCCCAGGATACGAGACACACCAGTCAGTTAACTTATAGGTAGTTAAATTATTTACTAACCATACAACGGGTGGAGTTAGA